TCGTCTAATATTTTAATTTCATGCCAAAATTTAGATGACTTTTTTGTTGTTGGTGCTGGCATTTCTTTCCTGTGGTTAGCAAAATAAAAATGGGTTATATAACATTGTCTCCTTTTCTTTTTTCTCACTTAAGACAATAGTAGGCTAAGTGGGCTCAGGCTATGGGAGTTTTGGGAACTTGTAAAGGCCGAGCTCAGGCTTTAAATGTAAACAGAGCCTGGCAGATGCCAGTTCCACCTCCTTATGTCCAATCACACCTTGCCTAAGTGCAGTTCTGCCTCCTTCAATGTTAAGCTTTTTTCCTTTGTGTCCCAAAATATTGTAAAAGATTCAAAGTGAGCAGTTTAATAAAAGGTTCATTTTACACTAAAAATCACGTTTTTTCCTTGAACTTTAATGTTAATTTTCATTAGTAGCTCCGGCCAGATATTCCTTTCTCAAAGTGGATGAGATATTCCTACATCAGCATGTACACTAAGGAAATTGAATTATTGTGTTAGCCCGACTAAAACTGGACTTTTAAAGTACATGTAAACATGATAGTCTGACTGAAATCGTACTAAATCAAATTTCTTGAAGGTGGACTAAGATACCCAGATAATGCGACTGGGAGTCAATTTACTCCTGCTTGTATATGTTCAATCGGACTCAAACTGGCCTAAGTGCTCTGTGTATGCTGCACAGTGCCCCCCCCCCACCAGGCTTTGATCCAGAAGTAACAGAACACAGTACACAGAAGAAATACAGAGCATAGCAGAGGATGTACAGCGCTGTAACGATGTCCAATTCACCCTTCAACTAAAGGGCATTTTTCCACTGCATCGGGTACCGTACTTTTGGTACTTCAAGAAGGTACTAAAAGTACAGTACTTCAAGGTGTTGGTTTTCCACAGGTGTAAGAACTGGTACCGGCACCAAATGACATCACAACACGAGACAGGGTACTTTGTACTGAATTTGAAAAATGTCTGTAGTAGGACAGGGCAATGTGCACTATTAATACCGACATTGCATGTTATGCATATCCAATTCTTACATTAAGATCAAGCTATATTACCTTCAATTTGGTATGGAAATTATAGAGCAGGGAGTTCATGTTTCGCTAAAACATTTTTACTCTGTCATAGGAAAAAAAAAACCTAGCAAGTTTTGTAATTTTAATGATTAATCCTTTTCAAGATTATCTAGTATATGTTTAAAAATCATTTTAAAGTTTACCTCCGCTGCTTTTGCATGAACACTGCATGTGTTCTCTGAGACAATCATAATCATTTTCATTCCTGTTGTTTAAATCACTGCTAGACGGGTTCGTGAGAAATGTATGTTGAACTCCTTTTGTTTCATAAATTGCCCAATATTTATTACAGCAAAATCACATTGCAATATCTAAAAAAATTCCAATACTATGATGTCATAGTATATTATACAAAATACTTCATTTCCTGTTACGCTATCCTGATCTTGTTGCATCTGTTCTTCCGACCAGATCGCAGTTAAAGCTTGTGTCACTTCATTTGTCCACGCACCTAATATTATTAATTTAATTATTTTTTATGTCTGTGATGCAACCAGAAAAAGTACAATACTAAAAGCTGAAAGGAGCCACATCGCCACCTACTGTAGCGGAGTTGAACTTCAGTCAATAAATCGATTCCCCTCCCGTGCATGTATACTGGGGCAGAGAATGCAGTCCGATTAAATGGCGTAGTCGAGTTATAACTGCAGCTCGACTTAGCAGTGCATGTAAACGTACTGCATGACACCTTGATTTCGGTCCCGCGTTTTTAAATTTTGACTTATTTTGCTTCTTGCTGCAGCCAAAACGTCAATTACTATAGCTACGCTGCTAGCGGTAAGACCAGAAGCAATCTGTGAATAACTTGGTATTTTAATGCGTCTTTACAGGGACATTACAAACGAATAAGCAAGAATATTGAAAAGAGGAAGTGGTGATGATGAGCCATTTTGATGCAGTTTAATTTACATTACAATTACAATTTTAAAAAAATTCAAGTAGTATGGATAGGTTCAATATCTAATAAAAATTACTTTTTCCCATCACATTTTTTAGTCTATCGTGTATTGTTTTCAGGTGGTAACACATCCTGCCCACAAATTAACATACTGCATCTTTAAGATTGTGATCATAAATACTATGATAGCTAATAAACTAAGGTTAAAGAGTGGTTTGTAGTTGTGGTAATACAACTAATGTAGGCCTGGAGAACGGCTTATTGAGGACCCCCACTCTGTACCTGAAACCCCCCCACACACACCCCTGGTTAATCCCCCTTTTCTTATAGGCTATGCTAAATAAATCCACAAATGTAATCAATAACTTCCTTAAGTTACTTCCTTAAGAAATAAACTAAGTGGAAATCCCAGCATCCTCAAGGGCCACCAGCTTTTCACATCAAAGACAGGACGAGCCTCCTCTGCCAAGGGTCCCATGGCCAAATACCCCCAAGAGGATTAAGTAGGCCTACATCCGGGGCACGAAAGCCATTTAGTCTTGGGCGCAAAACGAAAATGCATTCGGGGCAAGACACGGTAAATGTATGTACTATTGCGACTGGTCATGCGCATTAGGTAAAGAAATTAATTATATTCGGATGAATCACTGCCAGTTCATAACAGAATTAATGGGTGGCCTACAACATACAACGAAAGGATGAAGACATATAGCCTACCATCATGTCAGAACATGCGATATTAATGTAGATCTTTATCAAGGAATAGATAGCGGAGGGGGAGGAATTCTTACCTTAGCGATAACTTGTCCTCTGTAATCCGTGTTTTCTATGAGCGTCCTTGGGGGAATAATCCACTCTCTTTTTTGCCTGCTTAGTTTAGGTTCCTCAGCGTCAGCCTCGCACTTCAAAACCTTCCAGGAAAACACCGAGAAACACATGGCTTTGTACCATAGCGTTTGGGTCGATCTCGGTTACATACAAAAGCGGATGATGTTCAGCTTCAGTAATTATTGATGAACACCAAAAGCGGTTGTTCTGCGTTATATCAATATTATAGATCCACGTCCTCCACGATAACCCTCTGCCTTCCGTAAAATTAAATTAAAACTTTAAAAGTTGCCACAATGGTGAGTTCTGCCATTATGAGATTTAGGCTACTTATATTGCTTCTCCCTTTATAACTTTGTGTTAAATAAAGAAAAAAAATGGAACAACATTGTACTATTGTAAATCGGAAAACACTTTCTATTCAACCATAATCTCATATAATGATTTCCACTAACAGTTTGTGGAGAAAAAGGAGATTTCAAACGGAGAGTAAATATTATTTTTTATGATACGGTTATTATATGCCAGTGTATGCTGTGATATGGTACGCATACGGTCCTCGGGCGTTTTCCACCAAGGTACAGTAAGCAGGGTTTTAGGCATGTGTAATATATATATTTACACAGCATACGGTCCCAAACACAGCAGCGGCGACGGGCGTAGCGCATAATGACAAGGACACGGGAATAACTAATTACATTATAAACATTGTGCTTATTTAATACTTAGACCCGACAATTATTAAAAGGCTATGCAATATATGGATATAAAAGTGATCTAAGTTGTATAATAATTTGAATCCACATTAAATATCCTAATGTAGCCTATACTTTAAATAAGCTTAATCATTAATAAAATTATAAATATTATATATAATTACAGATAATAACTAGACCTCTTGTACATTTTTCTAACGTAATCGTAAGTTGAGAGACTTCGACTTCGATCGGCTCGAAACTTCGACATTAACATACGGTCACCAGTCAAAACTATAGTCAAAAGCCACGAAATAGCAGCGTAACGCGATCTAAAGGTGGAATATCGGGAGCCTCGAGCGCGGAGACCTGCGCCTACTCACCGTTAACAGCAAAACCGGGAGTAACAAGGTATTTGCGAGGAGAACGTGAGCCATTACAAAGCAGCCTGCGGGGAGCAGATACGTGCAGCCGTCAGTCTAAGGATTAACTCAGACCTGGGAATTAGTAAGATAAACCCCGTGGTTTGCTTTAATAAAGCACAAAAAAATAACAGAAAGAGATGTCTCCAGCATGAAGTGAGAAATAAGAAGTGAAGTGGAGGAGGAGGTTCTAGGTGGGTCCCTGTGATAGGCTGCAAGGGGCGGGGAGTGAGGGAGCAGCTACCGGAGGAGCGGCAATAGGGCGGCCGGCGACCTGCGCCTCGGTACGCGGGGCTCGGGTTTCAGCCCGCACTGCCAGTCCCTCGTGTGCTGTACCTGTGACTGAAGGCGGCACACTGGCAGGAAAAGGAGAAAACGAAAGCAGAGTCGCCACATACGCGCACATGATCTATTTTCAAAGAAAATTGTCAAGGAATATATTGAACTCTCCGTGTTTAAGATTGGTACAGTTTTTCTAATAAAGATAGATTTTAGCTATATGACACTTCACCATGTTTCAGTAGGGTCTTGTTTCGGGAAGTCGCAGTACCACCAGCATTCTCCAGCTAAATTCAGAATCCATTATAGCCTATGTTTTAAATAGCAACAGGTCTTGGAGAATTAATTCTCTATTAAACCTTTTTTCCCCATAAATAATCTCGGCTATTGTTCACTTCACAGATATCAGGAGTTTTTCCTAAATCCTATAGCCATGATCAGCGCCAATAAGTTTCTATTAGTAATATTATTATTTTCAAGTAAAAGAAAAAAAAAACGTTATCTAAATATGTTTGGTGGGTGTGTGTCTGAAGTGCGCGTTCAAAGGAGCCCAATCTAGATTTCAGCCTGTGAGGGAGCAGGGTATATGTGGGGGTTTGGGATCTGCTGCGGCGATATAAAGTCACTCATCCGTGAATCTGTACTTCGGATTTAGCAGAAGCGGCGGGCAGGCGGCCGCCTCATAGTTCTCTCCTTGGATATAAAATCATTTCCCCGGCCGTACTCAGCTGAATAAGGTGCGGTACTGAAGGGAAACTTCAGGAACCACTGAAATGAACAACAGCGCTGGTCTTCACATCTTAAGATGGACGTACAGTACTATATTAAACAGTTGTATTAGTAGTATATGAGTAGATAACATCCTTATAGGATTAAGCAATGGTTCCATCCATCCATCTATCTATCTATCTATCTATCTATCTATCTATCTATCTATCTATCTATCTATCTATCTATCTATCTTTCTTCCAACCATTTATGCAGGAGTCCAGTAGGTAAGAATGCATTCCATACCCGACGTGGTAGCCGGAGATAGTGATAGCTACCCTGACACAATATCTAATTGTAAGCCAGTTAGAGCTGAAAAAGGTAAGAATGCGAAAGTGAGGGTAAGAACCCAGTATCCACCCACGCCAAAAAAAGCAGGATGTTTTGGGGTTGCGTGGGGGCCCAGCCTGGAATGTTTTGACATTAAAAAACTGGGTGTTTCCATGCTGCAAGACTGAGACTGACGGCAGCATTTCATTGATCACACTCTTGCAAAAGCCAGGTCTGGTGTGACAGACTGGGAAGGTGCCTCCATTCAGCAAATTCGCGGAAAGCTGTGTATCTCTGTGATGCATCTGCTGCGGTTCCCGGGAATTCGGCAAACCCATTTTCACACACAGGTCAGGATAATTACAGTCTTGTGTACCTGCCTCTTAGTCCAGGGCATTTGAATTTCATAGCACCTTGGAAATAAATCATTAACGAGGTGCATGGCAATGGTGCAGACAGTAACTCCGGCAGCAAGATTAGAAAAATATTAACCGAGTTAAGAGCTCCGATGAGAAAACAAAGACAAAGGTTAAGCTGGTTAGGAGTAAAGAAGAAGGAACAGGCCACAGAAGAGTAAAAATGAAAGCATTCTGTCAAGAACAGCCAGAGCCTCCACGTGTTATTGTATACCAGCCATTTAACGTGCCAATTTATCCACCTAGGGAATCCAAAACAATGCAAATGCTCACGGCCCATTTAACTAAGCTAGTTGTTTAGGTTGCTTGACAGGGTAATTCATGCAATACCTCCCACAACTGACTATGAACAAGTCTGGGGACTTGATTCTGACTGCACAATGCATGCAAAATATGTGTGTGTTTTTTGTGTATATATTATTGGAACACTGCCTCCCCTCCCCTTCTTAAAGACATATGTCTTGGATATTGTTTTGGTGATTTTCAAGCATGAATATCTGTTGGTGTTGTTCAAGTGGTTTGACAGGGGAGGGAATAGGACAGATGTGTCAGCGAGGAGTGCATGTTCACGAGTGCGCTGTCTTTGGTTGTTTGGTCACATCCCTAAAGGGTTTGCAGACTCCCTCACTTTTCAGGTGTATTCCCACATCTCATCTGTGTGTGTGTGTGTTTGTGGGTCAGATATACATTACATTGTGGGGACGTTTTTTTTTCAGTCCCTACAAGGGGAAATTCAGTTTTATGAAAATCTGTGACTGCAATCAAGAAAACTAAAAATACGAAAAGACCAAAAGACTTGTTTGGTTACTTTCGGTTAAGGTTAGGGCTGGGTTGGGGTTAAGGTCGTCAATGTTTGGATTAGGGTTTTTCCCATAGAAATGAATGGACAGTCCCCACAAAGATATGAGTACAGGTCTGTGCGTGTGTGTGTGTGTGTGTGTGTGTGTGTGTGTGCGCATGATCTGCAGGCAGCGTCTTCCCCTTCCACATTTAACTCTTTACTTCCTGGGACTAGTTGTGGGTCACTGCAACCTTGATTGAATCATCACTCACTGAATCAGCTCTGACTCTGATTCTGATTCTGATTCTGAAAGGCCGCAGACACCACATCTGCATCACCCTGACATAATTTATTTCAAACCAGCTACAACCTGCCTGGAAATACTGTGCTTTGTCTCTGGGGAACAGGTGGACACAACATACTACACAAGCATCAACAAAGGAAGGCAGAACTAAACTTTACTACTTTACTGTAATACTATTAGTTAAATAACAGCAGAAAACTACCTGAAAATCCCTGCTGTAGTTAGAAACCTCAGAGTGGGAAAACCTGTTTTCTTTTTTTTTCTTCGTAATGTGGCTGAATGAACTCCTACAATAAATACATAAAACGACACATCCCTGGTAATGTCAATAACCAATAAGCAATTTTTCATACAAAAAGCAAATACATGTCTTTGATAAGCTTTGAGGAATTTACACGCAAATCTTTCCTGAGTGAAACGTCATTCATCTTGATTTTCATATGACTCAGTTTTCTTTCTGGTGAAGCACAAAGTCAGTGCGTGACGTGTAGGGGGGGGGGGGGGGGGGGGGGGGCGGATGGCCAGAGTGCAAACACACCTTTGATTGCTTCATTAACACATGTCACTCACTCCGACCTCTCACAACCTACAGAGACTCTACAAGGGAATTCTGAAGAATATCCTGGTTATTGAACACACCCCAGTGACACATAGCAGAAAGACATCAATACAGGACATCAAGTGAAACATACAGCATTGTGTGAGTCTTAGACAGTCAATAGAAATGTTTAAAGCTATTTATCTGGATAGTAAGAGCATATTTGCTAAGAACAAAAACAGAATTTAGCATTAGAACATATGCAAATTAAGAGTAACAATAAAAACTAGTAAATATTTCTTCTGTTCTCCAAAACGTTACTGATATCTTGTTGGATGGCTAGATGAACACCGCTTAATTTCCCAAACCTCTCCTCAGGGGCACCTCAGCCATTCCATGAATTTGTTAAATTTCACCACCAACTCACTTAATTAATTTAAATTTGTTAAATCAGTTGATGAGATATTGATCATCTGTACAAGGTGAGTTAGTGGTCGAGTCAAAATATACATGGGTGTGTTGTATGGTTGCTGGAAATAATGGGGTGATTTTGGTAGAGGTTTTGAAACAGCTAAGCTGGCACACTTTGACAGGCATAATATCATAGTTTTATACCAACATGAAGATCATTTACACATCATTTTCTTTGGCTGTGTAAGACTTATGCACAGTACTCTATCTAACCACATTCTAAAGAGGGAACAGAAAGACAAATAAAGTTTACCGATGCATGTCTCTGCATCAGAGCTCATGGAACCTGTATGATCAGCCAATGCTTGTCATTGTCAGACTTTTCTTTGTTCCCGGAGAAGGGTATTTTGTGTTGTTTCATGCTGCCTGTTCAAAGATAATCTAATACCACAGTGTCACCAGCTTGATACAAAGTGGGGTCAAGTTTCTGACGAATTTATTGGACAATCATCCAGAAGGGATGGTTTTTGTGCCACAACGAAAAGAGACGAGGTAATTTACCGCAAATAATGCAGCTCCGAGTTGTTCCCTCAAGGATGTAATTTACACAGGTACGATTCTATTCAACCATAAAGAAAACTTATGGCTCTCTTTCTGCAAACATATGTTCCAGCAACACTAAGCGGATAAATGAAAACACAGAACCTGCATGTTTAGCTATTAGCTATTAGCCTGTGTTCTGGAATGACCTCGTATGCAGAACTCTGGCTATCAGGATGTCAGTACCCCTGTCACACGCACTTTCAGGGGGAGCCTGACAATTCAAACCCCCCACAGCCTCTGCCTCTTTATCTCTCTCCTGGGAAAGACTACATTCCACACAAAGTCTTCCTGTAGTGCTCGGACACGGCCTTGCACCTTGTTGTCATTACTCACCAGTCGATCTATTATTAAATTTAGAAACAGTAGGAATTCAAAAATACTGTAATCGTAATATAAAACATTATTAGGATTATTGGCGGAACAACATTAATTGGCGTTTGTACTTGATGTTGTATTTTTGAAATGTACGGGTGGGCAGCCGGCTTTCTGTTCCGGACAAGCATCAAGGTTCCCGGGTTTATCGGGGTGATAGCTGCCCCCGCCCCGCCTGTCCCATGCCGCTCCCCCACACAAGACGCATTCCTCCGGTGTTACCGCAGAGGTCATTTTCGCTCATCCGGCCCACGGGAAGGCTGGGAGTGAAACAGTCAATGTGTCAGCTCGCACGTATCTGTGCGGCAAACGGGAACTACGGAAAATAAAGAGGATAAAATGGTCACGTCAACATTTATGATGTGCGTTAATTAAGTGAAGTTACGGTAGTGTTCTGAAGGCGCAATATTATTACCATATTTAATAAACAACATTTTTAAAATAATAAAATAAGGTGAC